ACAAACACAAAGCACATTTCTACGTGGAGATGTTCACCACCTTTAATGTCAGGAGATAAAAACTCTGGTAATTAAACAAAGGTCCATGGATCACAGACACTTAGAGACTTGGCTCCTGTCTTTCCCATTGGCCTTATTCTTCCTCTCCTACCACCTCCCATTCTTGAGATATCTCTCCAGAAGGCTCCCCCGGGGAGGCAGGAGGGACTCTGGATGACAGAGGTCCACTGAAACAGGGGAAACCTGCAGGCAACAAAGGTGATCATTGGCATCTGATCACAGCGAGGCTGAGGGAGAGGAGTACTGAGGAGATGCCATCGCACCAGAATTTTAGTCTCTGTGACCTTCAAGAAAGTAACTTCATGTGGTCAGAGCAAGACCCAGACAGACTCTGAGGAAAAAGTGAGCCTGGAGACCCAAAGGAACGCTGTCACCCAATAAGCCAGCAGAGATGAGGAAGAGCAGCAATCAGGTGTGACAATGCAGCAGCAGAGATTGTGCAGAGGAGACAGAGGTGGGGAGTGTGTCTGAGGACACAGCCAAAAGGAGAAAGCAGACCTTGGAGATAGAGGACCTGAGAGGAGATCAGATGTGCTCCATGCACTTGGAGACCATCGAGCTTCAGTTAGTCACAGGCATGTGCGTGTGCACACACACACACACCACCTGTGTGTCAAGCATAAAATGGGGCATTCACATATTTTCAAATGAAAATAGAAGGAAAGAAAGAGAGGGCCTTAAGGAATAGAAAATTTGTAATGCAGAAGAAGGGAGATGGGGTTTCTCACTAAGCTTTACTTTCTCAGCAGAGTAGGAGAAGGTCATCTGCTCAAAATTAGACAGATGGACATGGAGGAAGACCTTCAAGGTCAAACGCAGCCAGGAGAGCTTTGACCACATGCTCATCTGCTTCAGCAGCCCCTGCTCTGTATCAACAAGGGGACCAAGAGAGGATTTGTGTCCCCACCACCCAAAGCTCACCCAGGCCACTGTGGGGGCCTCAGGGGTTCAGCAGGGGACTCTGGCAGGTGTTGCCATAGCAAAGGGTCTGAAGGTCATGTCCACACACTGTGACTGGGGTCCGAGTTGGCACCTCTAATAGTGCCCACATGGCCATTATTTCCCAGTACTTGATATGAAAAAGGCCAATAAGCAATCTATTCAAATGATTATAAGAAATTTCAACATTACTTTCATCTGTAAAGGAAAAGAACTGCTTGAGCCTTTAAAGATAATTCTAACTCTTGTAGATTTTGACTGGTCATAAAAAATGGTTTTAGAACTTTCATCATCATCTTGTGTGAATGAAGTTTCTAGTCAGTGGAGTCCATTAGGAATTTGAACAAATGACCACTAAATCTGAGCTATAAATTGCATTGTAGCTATTTAAGCATCCAAATCTATATATAGATATAAAGCTAGCTAGCGAGATGATAGATAGATAGATAGATAGATAGATAGATAGATAGATAGATAGATAGATAAGGTTATGTTCTGTTCATGGAAACCAGCTCAAATTACTATTTTAAAAAATTTTACAAATCCCTAGAACTCTTATGCAAATGTATTATTGAATATCTTTCTTGGAATTGTATGTTTTATGATTTCTCGTCAACCTTAAGTAATACAAGAAGAAGGCCTCCCTGGTGGTGCAGGCAGTTGAGCACAGCACTGTGAAACTGTCTGCAGCCTCTTCAGTGTGGGTTCAATCCCAGCCGGCCATGGAGCTACCCCCATGGCGCGGCAGACCTATCCTGTCTCGCCTGCTGCTCCCCTCAGCAGTGTATTTCCGTCAGTCTGCCTGTTCTGTTCCCCGCTCTGTCTCTGGTAAATCCTCTCACCTTCCCACACATCTGGCCTGTACCCTAGCTCTTGTAAAAATAAATAAATCTTTTTTAAAAAAGTAATACAAAAAGAATGCAATGAATATTTTTGCCAAGTCTATAGAGATACCCACAAATCCATGTGCACAATTCCAATGTTTTCTGTATGTACTCTGATATGAAAAGGAGCAAGGTCAGGAAGCATCGTGGATAGAAATTAAATAGAAATGAATACATAGTACTAGATTTGTGGGTGAAGCCAGCCACAATTTAATAGTCTTCCCAGCAAGACACTATGTTCAAGGAACAGACCTCCAGGTGAGAACAGTATGTAGGCCCCAGAAGGAGGCTGCAGGGGACTAAGGCTCTGAGGTGCAATTGCAGCAGCATGGATCCAGGCTGGTGGAGTGGATAGAGGAGTTGGGGGATTGTTTATCTTGCCTAGAAGCCTAGATTTGTGATTCACATCCAATCCATGTGAACATTTGCCAAATCTTCACACTTATCCATCTCCTCTTCTCCTCTGGATATTCTCCCAGTAAGATCCCAAAGGCCTCTGTCTCCAGACGTTGTATGAGTCACTCAGACATGAAGTGTGTCCATGTTGGAAGTGTCCCTTCTCAGAGCAGACTTTAGTCACCTGATCCATCTGCTTTCCCTGTTCCAATTGTGACCACAATGTGCACACGTCAGCCTAGTAAGTCACCCACTCAGACCCCACATCTAACCTGGGACATCACAGGGTAGAATGGGGCTGCACCACATGATGGGAAAGACTCGTGGGTACAGTCCTGTTTCAACCACTAACCAGCTGAGAGACCTCTTGCCATCCAGACTCCTCATCAATAAAACAAGAGGGGTCCTCCCCGGTGGTGCAGTGGGTTGAGTGCCGTGCTGTGAAGCTGTCTGCAGGCTCTGCACAGCGGGTTCAATTCTCCCAGCCAGGGAGAAACCCACATGGCACGGCAGACTACTCCTGCCTTGCCTGCTGCTTCCCTCAGCAGTGTCTTCAGTCCGTCTGCCTGTTCTGCTCCCCGTTCTGTCTCTGGTGAATTCTCTCACCCTCCCACACCTCTGGCCTCTACCCCAGTTCTTGTATAAATAAATAAATCTTAAAAAAATAAAATAAAACAAGAGGGTTTTACTAGACGACCTGTAAGTTTCCTTCCAGCACTGACATTTTTCATTTCTGAGGCAAGCAATATCCACAAGATTTAATTAAATGTTGGGTCATATCATTGGATCAAAATCACTAGAACAGGATCTAATGTGCATTAGTCATGGTTGTGTCAACTGTTATTAGAAACACATCTAGGCATAAGGTGGGAACTCAATAAATGATGGATGGATAGATAGATGGATGGATGGATGGATGGACAAAGCTGGATGGATGGAAGGACAAATGGTGTGTTGATAGATAGATGGATGGATGGATGGATGGATGGATGTGTGGATGGATAGATGGACAAATAGCGAATGGAGGGCCGATTGGAGGGGTGGATGCATGGGTGAATCAATGATGGATGGATAGTAGGAACATGCAAGCCAAGTGCAAGAGGTCAGTTTAGAACAAGACACTAGAGTATCAGTTAGAAACACAGGAAGAAAGGACAGTGTCTACCCTCAGGGAATAAGACATCCATGAGGGAGGATAATAGAAAACTAAAGACCAGCATGATGGGGTAGTTACGATGGGGCAAGTACAAATATCCTGAGATCTCACCTCACCTTGTCATCTCAGAAACTCTGTGACATGTGGCCACCATGCATGTCCTTGATCTTGACAACCACATGGCAGTAAACAGCAGGCCTCCTTTGTGAGGCTGGGAGGCATGTGTGTAATGATTCAGAGGGTTTTTTTAAATAGCAATATCTTAGAGCAACCCAAATACTGTTGCTGCCGTATTGCAGAACTGGGTCAGCTCATCAGAGGCTGTCAGTCACATGCCATTCTCAGCAAGGAGCTGATCCTCACGTCCCCGGCCCCAGGTCACCGGGAGCCAGTCAAGCGAGCAGGGCCTGGTGGCTGCAAACCCAGCTCACAGCCCCAACTTGATGGGGAGAAGGCATCTGTCACCTTTTATGAGGGTGTCTCTCCACTTGGCTTCAAAACCCACATTCTCTCCTCTTATCTCCTCCTGGAGACAAGATACACAACCAAAATGAAAGCAATTAATCGAGGCCTTTTACTAACACTGAAGATTTTCTTCTCTGTGTAGTACCAAGTTAATTATTTAATGGTATAGAAAGCAAGTTGCCTGCTTGGGCTGAGGCTGCAGTGCACAGCAGTCTCCTTTCAGTGACTCTCAAAGGTAAGGACATGTCAGGTGGGGCTGCCACTGGCTTTGGATACCCAGAGAGCCTTGTTCCTGTGCAGCCGAGGAAGGCTGTCCTCTCCTCCCATATTCACTATCTATCCCTAACTCCTACATGACTGGTTGGGGTCTTCTTCCTTCTTGATTCAGGAGGGAAAGAAGCAGAAGGGCCCACTGCACCCTGATCATTCTGATCCTGCCATAAATGTATTGCTTTGGGGCACTAGTAGGAGAAAAAGCCAATACCACTATTAAGTTTGTGGCCAGTGCCCCAGGGAGACAAGAGTCCTTGGTCCCATAGTCCCCACTGATTGCCAGGCAGCCAGCCCAGGCCTCAGAAGTGAGTTAGCACCAAGTAGATGGATGGAGTTCCTGGAGTACCCACAACCCCCCGCACATTGTCAGGTAGAGAAGGATTTAAATAGAACCCATGGACAAGTGAGTTGAAAAAACCAGCCCCATCCACATGAATTCATCTGCTATTCTGGGAGTCACACATGAAGCATCGAGTGGACAGTTCAAAGTGTAAGCCTTTGGGGACTGAAAGTGCAGAGGCCAAAGTGACCTGGCATGGTCAAAGGAAGGTCCCCAGAGGAAATGGAGATAAGCAGGGCCTTGTTGGATAGTCAGGGTGTGGCAAGGCTCTCCAGCAGCTGGACAGAGAGGACATCGTGTGTCTACAGGATGACCAGCAGGCAGAAGCCTTCTGTCTGGAACAGCAGGCTGATTTAGAGCAAGGCACTGGAGTGTCAGCTGGTCAGCATTCTAACTCAGACCATCCACTCCAACATCAGTGTTCCCACAACCATGCCAACCACCTCATACCTAACCACTCCAGAACACGCATTGTGCCCAAGTTCTGTAAGCCCTTCAGGTCCTAAGTCACTTACTCATATCAACAACGTCTTGTACTGGATGCCATGTTATACCCATTTTATAAAGTGGGTAAATGACTGGACCAAGGTCACACAACAAGTAAGTGTCAGATCTGGTTTTTGAACTCTGGGAATCTGACCCACCAAAATGTTTTTACTTTCAGTGCCTTTATTTCGTCAGCAGATTTGTCTCTTTAATTATTACTGTACACACAGCAACACCAGCAGGGTGTCAATGGAAAATAACCCACACAAGTCAGAACTGTGGGCCCTGGCTCCTGTTTCCTTCTAGTCCCTAGCATTGAGTTGGCATAATTGCTCCCATGCTGGCTTGTTAATAGCTGCTGCTGAAGACTATCCACCCTGCCCATCCCCACATCCCCTTGGGATCCCCACATCTCCCCTCTCCAGCAACTAAAAGATTAATACCTGACAGCCCCCATTTTTTAACAGCTGTGATATATTGCCTCTGGCAGGCAGTGCTGATGGTGTCCAGAGGGAGTGATTACTTATCCCTCTTGAGTAGAATAAGCAGGAGCTCCAGGTGCACCCAGGAGGAAACAGGCTGAGGTCTAGTCTGAACTCCAGTGACATCAAACCCAGGAGAGGAAAGCTTCCACAGGCCTGGCACAGCACCTGTGCTCCCAGGTTCCTGCCTGAGCAGCTACTATCACTATAAACGTGGGACCTTTGGGGCTGGTGACAATTTTGATGAGCTGCACTAAAAAATCTATAAAGATGGTTAAGATTTAACATGACTGAGTGCTAAATGCTTCCTTTATGTGTCTATAAAAGTGATACCATCAAAGCAGAGCCATGGGACAATGAATCTGCCTTCAGGCAGCAAGGAACCCAGACAGAAAGTCATGCCTGACCCAGAACTGAGGCCAGAGGCCTGGGTGAGGGCTGCAGACCTGGCGGGAGGGCTGTGGACAGGAAGTGACAAGGAAAAGAAGTGGCAGGACCTGGAGTCAAGATGGACATGAGAGAGGGGCAGCGGGAGTCACTGGGTACTCTGACTTTGATATGTAGCAGGAGAATGGAGATGCCAAAAACCCATAGAAAATTAGAAGATGCTGGTTCTTATTTGAATACAAGGAGTTAGAGGTCCAGGCCAGCCTGGAACTGAGGGCACAAGGTCGTCAGTGGGCCTGGGGGCTGCCCAGAAACTAGGGCAAGAACACTGCCCATAACCCTCTGAGCAGCTCTGTCCCTGGGTCTTTTGGTTTGGGGGAGACTGAGGCAGCATGCAGCCTGCAAGGTTTATCATTGTTTCTTTCTCCTAGTTAACTCAATTCATCATTAGGGCCAACAAATATCTGCTTTGAGATTTGTTGAGAGGGAAGCAAGGGAGTCCCTATGCAAACCAGAGCTGGGAGGGGAGCAGGTGGCTGGGGAGGACCATTCTGTCTCTGGAACATGGGGTCTTACATGTGTCTTCACTGCGCCTGTGGGGTTAGGTCTCCAGGATTATCCAGGATTGTGAGAAAGCACAGAAGGCTATGGCTGTGAGAACCTGTCCAGAAAACGGCAGGGCTTCCAGTCAGTTCTCCACTGGAGAGTATGAGCCCTCTGATATGATGATTGGAACAGAGGCCAGAAGCAAAGACAGCATTCCCATAAGGAATTTCTCTGGAGCTTCCAGCATACTCCCTTTACCCACAATCTCCCCAATGGGTGGCTCCATCAGAGAGCACACCTCTGAAGTCACAGAGCACTATAAGTAGTGGAGCTCTCCTAAGGCAGCATTGGTGCAACAGCAAAGAATAGCGAAAGCCTCAGGGAAAATGCAGATGCAGTACATATACATCATGGAATATTACTAGCAATCAAAAAAGATAAACTCATGCCAGTTGCAGCAACATGGATGGAGCTGGAAGGGATCATGCTCAGCGAAATAAGCCAGAAAGAAAAAGAAAAATTCCAGATGGTCTCACTTATAGCAGGGATGTACAGGATCCAAATAAGGGATCAGGGGGAAAAAAACATTATAATAAAGTTAAAATCAAAATCAACAGGCAACTATAAACCAGAGACAGACATACTGCAAGGAGGGAGAAGGGAGTAGGATCAAAACAAGGGTGGGAAGAGCACAAGGGACCATGGTTATAGTTCATGGGTGAATGGGTGATGGGAATTTTATGGGGACTATAACCAAGATGAAAATGCATACATTGTACAAAAATGAAAAGTGATATAAAAAGTATATAAAATAATTAAACATTTAGTAAAAGAATGAAAGAAAGAAAAAAATTGCAGCCGGGTATTATCTCTGGGTGATTTAAGAAGCTCACATTTACCCAGAGGGCTGGCTTCTGGTCAAGAATTTAAGTTCCTGGACTGCAGAGTCCGCGCCTCCCCAACAAATGCATACCTAAATGCTTAGGGGAATCTCCTGATATTGGAGGCTGGGGTCCCTCCCCGTCTCTGCAACCAATTAAATATCTTTCACACTAAGAATCTACTTTCTTTGCCTTTGTGCACGCAGATGTTCAATCCCTATTAGAACATTTACCCCTTAAAAGTTTGGGGGACACTGGGCACCCCTTGGTCATGCAGTTACAGGTCCGGGAATAAAGAAAGAGGTGCCACAGTCAAACAGATACGGAAGAGGCAACAATGCCTGACTACCATGAGGAAACAGAATTCTGCTCACTCAGGGTTGGCCCTTTCCAGAAGTCGCTATGAGGAACAGGGAAGGCTAGTCCTTTACTATCAGCCTGGCTGGGAATCAGCTTGTACACCCAAGGACAGGGTGTCCATGTCCGTCTGGACTTCCCTGAATCTTATCTTTTTTTTAAAGATTTATTTATTTATGCATACAAGAGCTGGTGTACAGGCCAGAGATTCAGGGGGTGAGAGGATTCACCAGAGACAGAGTGGGGAGCAGAACAGGCAGATCCACTGAAATACACTGCTGAGGGGAGCAGTGGGCGAGTCAGGAGAGGTCTGCTGCGCCATGTGGGCTGCTCCCTGGCCGGCTGGGGATCGAACTCGTGCTGCAGTGGCTGCGGATTGCTTCACAGTGCGTTGCTTAACCCCTTGCGCCACCAGAGAGGCCCCCCTGAATCTTATCTGACCCCAAATGGATGTCATGTAACCAAGTGTGGTGGCTTTGGTAGAAGGAATTGTATGGGTTGAGAACCCCAATTCCCATTCCATTCCCCATTCAGGTTGCTTCCTTATGGAATCAGACATGTTTCCATCTATCCACCCCCTGTCTTCTCCCACTACTGGGGACTGCTGTTTCTTGCTCTGTTTCTTTCCATCTTCCCACCCCTGGACCCCTTTTCTGAGTGGCCTGCCTCTATCCCCAGGTCCTCTTACCACTCAGTCACCCAGCAAAGCTTTCTTCAGAACAATGTGACCCCAACCCATCTCAGAAAGCCTTTCCCTAGAGCCAGGACTGGCTGGGATCTGAGCAGCAGCCTGAGAACTGGGGCCACCCCAGGGGCACCTCATCTGTTCCTATGACCAGGCACACAGTGAAACCCCAAGCGCCAAGGAGGGTGGAGAAAGCCTGGGAAACTCTCTCCCAGCAGAACTAGAATCTGCTCTCTCAAAGAGGCTGAGCTCTCCGGCTATGATGCCTCAGCAACTTTAGAAAATAATTATCTCTGTGCAACTCCTCTTTCTGAGGGCTGTTGAGATCAAAGGAACAGCTTTACTCAGGGGGAAAAAACAAGGGACAGAAATTGTCAGGATAAATACAGGCAGTTGGACAGCAGGGTTCTGCTGAGCTGCCATTTTGGCTTTTTGGGAGGGAGGTTGTTGGCTTGGCTTTTCTCTCCGCTGAGATGTTTAGTGGAAGTGTGTGACAGCTCCTCAGTGAGAAGCTCTGCAGGAGAAGGGAGGGACGAGCCTCTGGCTTTGGAGTAAAACAACCCTGGTTGACATCAGGCCAGAGATCAGACCCCTGACTTCACAGACAAGGAGGCGCAGTAAATAGGGATTCCCAGAGGATAACTGGCTCTGTGCCCCTTGAGTGGTTTAGGCATTTTTTTTTTTTTTTTAAATAGAGGCATGCTTTATTTATTTAGTTTGTTTGCATGCACTGGGTACAGTCAGAAGCGCAGGGTGAGAGAATTCACCAGAGCCAGAGTGCAGAACAGGGGGAGACACTGCTGAGGGAAGCAGCGGGCGGCAGGAGAGGTCTGCGCACCATGTGGGACCCTCCTCCGGTGGCCGGGGAGCAGCCGGGGATCGAACCGGCGCCGCAGAGGCCGCGGGCAGCTTCGCAACCCAGAGCTCAACCACTGCGCCACCGGGGAGGCCCTGGTTTAGGCATTTTGATGGAAGTTCTAAACTTGTCTCCATGGTTCCCAGATGAATATGTCCCCCATGCAGGGGGTAGACTGGAGGCAGAGTGGGGGCAAACCAGAGGGCTCCTCTTCCACCTGAGACTTGGCAGGACGTGGTGGGCCTGAGTGAAATCCTACTTCCTATGGAGCCTCTGTACCAGCATCCTGCCAGGGGACAGCAGCAGGGCACTAGACAGGGGACCAACCCCAACCCCCAGATGCAGACAAGGATTGCACTTAAATCTGGCTGCCTTATTCACTGACCACATGGGTCTTCTCTGAATAGGAACAGCTCCAGAAGGCAATTCTACCCAAGGATGAGAGGAAAATGAATCAAGCTCTCTCCTTTTTGTGACAGACTTTTTTCTGTTATCAATACCTAGTCACAATTAATAAAGCATTCCATAGTCATTAAAGCACCTACTGTGCACCTACTGTGCTTCCTATTGCACAGTACTTTCTATGCAGTAAGAACTAAAAAGTGTAACATAGTCAACCTGTAACTTGGAACGGACCAAAGCAATTCTCAAGAAGCTCTCATTTTATTCCCAGTCACTCGTCGATTCAGCATTAAATTACATCATGCAGGAAAATGAACCTCAGGAAATGCTAAGATAAATCAGGAATAGTTTCTAGTTCCTGTACATTCTGGTGGCTAAAAATGAAGCAGGATTCACAAAAAGCCAAGAGGAAGCCCAGGGTGGCTGTGACTTTTGAGCGGGGCTCTGGAGGGTTGTGTAGGAGTTCAGCAGATGGGAAGGGACAGGGTGGGCTCCTAAGTAAAGAGAAGGGCATCCCA